AGGTGTGGAGGATATGAGAGTACTAAACAGAAGAACATGCTCACTTTTCTCACAACCATTCTCAGGAAATTAAGTAGTATTACTCTTTTGATTAAGGGCAGGAACATTTGATTCATATACAACTGAAAGTTCACTTGTATGAGAAAAAGTTGCAGAGACTTCAAGAAAAAGGATTGCTACGTCAACCTGTTCAAGTGGAGAAACTTGGGATGGAGACTCCTCATTTCTGTCATATGCAAAAGGAACTAGCTCCAGAATCAATCGAGTTCATAACTAGACAAAACATTTTGCCTGTGCAAAAGCTGTATTTGCAGGCTCTCAGTTTCTCCTTGTTGCCTATTATGATTATATAAGGAAGAGTATCAACATTTAAAAAGGGGTACTTTTAAGATACAATCTAGTTTATGCACAGTATGATCAACACATCAGAACAGATGCTACAGGCATATTTGAACAAAAAGTCATAATGATATTTCCTAAATTCCTGAATAATGTTATTATCAGTGGCAAAGAATTTGTTTCCAGTGATGTAAGAACTCTGAGTAAGTGTGCATATACATATTTTTAGATAGATTGCACAGGTACATGCAAGTATCACAAGAAGATCACATATAATCCATGTTTGTTTCATGAAGAAAAACATACATTGTAAGCAGTTCTCAACTGCATTCTACTTTTTTTTTTTTCCCCCCAAGACTGTTATTGTTCAAAATGGTGTATTTTCTTTTTTGTTTTGGTGACTTCTCCGTTCTAAAGCCAGCTAACACTTCACAAGTACAAATCAGCACACCTTACTTAGTGAAGTTTTCTCTAATTATAATTTCTATCATTTCTGTATAAACATAATTTCTATAATTTTCTGTAATTATTACTGTACCAATTACTTACAACCATCTATATATGTTCAAAATAAGATTCAGATGGAAAGCCAGATATTTCTACTTGCTGCTTTAGCAATTGAAAAGAAAGGAAGAAAAGTAAGGCTGGGTATCCAACTCCGTCTAGAAAGAGCACTGTTTCTGAAAGTAGGGTATTTTTATTTTAATAGCTACAGACAGATTGGTATAGAGTACACAAATATTTCTCAAAGGGAGTATATGTAATGACAGTACTTAAAGGATACCAAAGCTACTCCTTCAGTTACATAAGTATTAATCATCAGCTGCACAATGCCTTTTCTGTAGCATAAAGACACATTACTTTATAAGGCCACATTAAAGTCACTCATCTAAAATTCAAAAAACCTTTCTACCCATAAAGAAAATAATCTTTGTCTGGTAAACAATACATAAACATTATTGTTTCATAGAAGTCTTGACCAAAAACTTGGAAAATGTCTAAAACAGGAACTTGTTAACTAGCTTATCGCTTGTGCCATGTGATAACCTAATCACCTAAACAAGATTTACAAAAGGGATTTATGGATCCTCCGGCTGATGTATGGGTGATATGCATCATACATGAGGAACTAGCAATTTTTTTATGCTTTTTAAGTGGAACAAATTTAATGGCTTGTAAACTCATGAGAGGTGTACAAAACTTTTAGAATGTATAAAAATACTGTCTTTTGCTATCTCAAATGAAATAAATACACAGATAAATCCATATATTATCTACTATTCCACCCTGCATAAGGAATGATGAAAGTCATCATTATTTCTACTTCATAATATATAATAAAAAAAGACGTAGGAAAAAAAAAAGGCAGAAAACTGACACTTTGTTTCACTATATATTAAGAGCTACTTTCATACTAGCATAGTTACAGTCAAACACATGGAGATAAACATTTTTTAAGCAGGAGCCTAAGATCAGATGTCTACTCCACATTTATTTACTTGGCTCCTCCTCATCTATAAAAGGTATGGAAGAGTCTTCTATTTTATTTTGTTTATTCAGAAGGAAGATCCACTTAACACCTGAAGAACTAGAGACATCATGAAAAGATTAGCACTCAGGAAGAAAAACCTAAATCACCGATATTTTTAGACAGTTGTTGAAAAATCTTAAATTATTTTACTTTATTTTTAGCATCTATTTAGTTCACACCCGATGAAAACAACTCTATTTTAAAGAAGGGACCATTCTGCTTCTTCATTTCAGTGTATGAGACCAAAAGAGTATCCCCATGCTTAGAATGAATACAGTCTCATAATAAAAGTAGTTTTACTCAACACCAGGGTAGCTTGCATTGTAGAAATCTGTTCTGAGTAAATTGTTAAGATATAACCCAGAAAAGCATATTCCTTTTCTTCCTCTGAAATGGTACTTCAGCAAAACAAGGAATTCAACAGTTGCTGCTACTGATATTTCTAAGATGAAAAACAAGAAATAAAATGAAAGATCAAACAACTCAAGCTTGTTCAAGCTTCCAATTTCACTAGACAACAGAAAAAAGAATCCAAACCTTTTTTTTAATTTAATCACCTTACAGAAAGGCCACAACAGAGACAATTAAAACCAAAAATTATGTATACCTTACATTTAATAAATAAACTATTTTAATTCTTCATAATATCTGTAAGGCTGGCTAAGTAAAATTTATCATAACAGATGATATAAATGACCATTAACTGTACCAGACAGTTAAACCGTGGTTTCATTTGGTACTAGGGATATTAGTTAATTAGTTTCAGGCAGTAGAATGACTTGTGAATATGATTAAGGCAAAGTTAGGCATTATTGTCACAGTGCAATAGAACAGTATTTTAAATATGATATTGAAGAACCAGGTCATAAAAGAGGGTTACAAGGGATTTAAAGTCAGAACTGCTGGAGATATGAATGACGTTCAATGTATTACAACATCCATCAAAATCGAAGAATTCTTTGCAAATGGATAAATAAATTGAAATGAAAAGGTTTTATGTTATAGATCAGTAGTATTTTCCCTATAATGAATGACTGAAAATTATAAGCCTTTAAATTGTCAGTTCAGACCATCACCCAAAATCTAGAAACTGATTTATGATGTAAGGCACTTCACTCAGATATATAGTACAACACAAATTTGGCCTGGAGGAACATATTTTCTGCCTTAGCTTATAAAATTGCCCTTATAAAACTGTGTCCACAAAATGGTGCAACTAATTAAATTTAACTTAATACATCTGTCTTGGAGCTATATATCTTTTTTTGGGAAAAAACTGCAAAGTTATACAAATACCTTCTCTCAAGACTTTTTAAAAGTGATAATGATTTGGCAGTCATATTCAAAAAGCATGTTATCATATAAGCTTTCTGCCAGTTTTAAGTCACAATGTAACTGTGATTAGTAAACTTAAAATGGTGCTGTTAAATTGATTTTTTTTTTTTTTTACAGGGGTATATGGTGAAGCTTAATGCAACAAATTTTGTAAAGGTGTTTCTAGGTCTTCCTGTGTACAAATTATAAATAATAGCAATATCTAGCTCTTATATAATGTTTTTAAGCTTCCAAATGACTCAAATAGGGTTAGTTTATAGAAATGCAAAAAAATACTGGGAATTATTATTCATCTAACTCCCTCTTCTCCTATTTCTATTTCCTATATGAATAAAACTGCCTTTAACAGGAATTCCTTATAACACACTACAGTTGTGTAATACATTGTTCATTGCAGGTTTTGTTCTAATAAGAGCACCCATATAACGGTGAACAGTGCTTCTAAAAACAGTGAAAAACAGAAAAAAAATCATTATAACAACTTGATGACTGTCATAGAAAGCAAGAAGGAACAACAGCCTTGTCCACTACTGCTTTGAGATTTTACCCTAACACCAACAGAAGTGATTAGACATTTCTAAATACACTTTTTTTTTTCTTCTGTCAAATCTTACGTATTTACAAGTAGGAAAAACTGCCCTTGGCCAAAATTATTTTTTCTGATCTGCATGCATCTATAACTTGCAAAGTACAGTACGGTTTGTAGCTTTGGGGTCATTGATCAAAATGCCATCTTCACAAACAAAGTAAGATTCCTATTTCACGTAAGTTCTATTTAAAAACCTGCCTTAGCTTTCACAGAAACTGTATTTTCACATCTAAAACACAGTGCAGTCTCATTTAAAAATTATTTCCTATCTAAAGATACATCAATTTCCGTATTTTCTTTCATTGAGAACTAAAACCATTCATAATACAACCCTTTTAAATTGCCAGGGAACAAAATATATTCCTTCAAAGTACAAATTACTGTATTAAGTAACAATGTCAAAAGACGTGTGTACTTCAAGCATGTGTGCCTCAAGGAGGTCCCCTCTTCTACTGATTTCTACAGAGTAACTTGAAAGATTTGGAGAGTGTAACATCAGGCAGTTAGGGCAGATCATAATTTGCTCATCTTTTTGTTCACATCTTTCCTGAGGAAACCTCTTGACATTATTACAAATGTGGGTTAGTTTGGAATGACCACAGGCACAACTGAAGTGCTGCACAGTCTAATTCACATAGCAAAAACCAACTGGTCATCCAACTCTTTCTTCCTGCACATGTGCACGGGCACGTACATTTGCAAACTGTCATCAAGCCTGGTAGCTTTTTCAGGAATGAATTTGTTGGGGGAGGAAGGTTGCAATGATTTATTGTGTAGCACCATAAACACCTGCAAACAGTAGCATTACTGCACATCTGGAAGAAACTGAATACAGAAGGAGTCGTATCTTTGCTGCTCATTAAACAAACAAGTAATTGGTTCAATCAACAACTATGCACTATTACTCAAGGCACAAAGACTTTGTGTTAGCATTCTATAAAATAACTGGTTCAAGAGTTTATCTTAAAAGAAACAACAGGTCAAGCTGATTCTCCTACTTCTATATAAGAGAAGTTATTTTACTACATATAGCACCTAGAGAGTTAATTAACCAAATCTTCTTACCACCTGTCTCTTGGAATGAAATGACCACATAAGGTCTTTAGCAAAGAACAAATCCAAGGGAATTAAGTCTTGGACTCATAATGTGTTAGAAATAGAACATCTTTCCTTCCCACTGCCCATGTTCAATGGATTTGTACTCACCCTCTGAGTGATGGTTCTTCCCTCTTTGACTTTCACTGCCAGTCCAAGATCAGACAGACGGCAGTTACCATTATCATCCAGAAGGACATTCTCTGGTTTCATGTCCCGGTACACAATCTTGATGGAATGGAGATGCAGAATCCCACAGGTGATCTGAGCTGAGTAATAGATGACCCTGTTCATTTCCAAACCCCTTTCTCCCACATTGTAGATGTGATACTTTAGATCCCCTCCATTCATGAGAGTCATGACAAGACACAGATGGCTTTTGCTCTCATAGGCATAAGCTAGTGTGACTATGAAAGGACTTCTGGTCTTCTCCAGAATCTCTTTCTCCAGTAGTGCCATCTTCTCTCCACCTTTCTTTTTCAACCTTTTCTTATCCAGTTTCTTGCAGGCATACATCTTGCCAGTATTTTTCACTTGGATGGCACAAACCTAGGGAAGCAAGATGCATGAGGAAAGGTAATGAAAGAATTTTACACATACAGACTGGAATATCAAGGGCAGTAATAGCCAGGAACTGGCGAGTCACTGATGCCTATTGGTAGCTGGTGATGCTAACTTCCGTGAAAGAGTATATTAGCAAAGAAAATAAGGAAAAAACAAGAGTACAGTCTGTTCTGTTCTGGACCAGTATATGGTGGACCTAATGCAAAGTTCCTGAGGACACTATTAGTAGACATCTATTAGCAAATAAAATAAACAAGGACCCATTCTCTGACCATGATAATACATGGCATGTACAACTTGCATCTGCATAGCTAATCTCCCTTCCAACTCAGAAAAAGAGTGCCTCGTTTATACTGTGTTTTGGGAACAGAACCTCATCTGTGCTATTCCCTAAACTGCACCTAGGAATTATCTGAGAGCATGAGAGAGAACACAGGCTAAAAATGGCACCAAGGAGCAGACTAATAATTCACTATATAGACAGCCATGCAGGCTTTTGTGAAGACCACCTTTTTTTACTAGCATAGATACAGAACATAAAAACATTAGTGTAGCTCTTCACTGACAGGCATCTGGACCCTCTATCACAGTATAGATAACAAATGCAGTCTAATTTCTGGGAAATGGACAATCTGAAAGATGAAGTTCCGCAAAACCTTACACAACTTCTTAATTCATTGACAAGTTCCTCTGCAAACCTACCTGCTGGTCTTGAAAGGGGAGGGATAACCCACATCCTTAAAAATAACAGCACTTACCTCTCCAAAGCCACCTTTGCCCAGCACTCGGTACTCATAAAAGTATTTTTCAGTTATTGGCTGCTTCTCAAAAACTTTCCATTGGAGGAATTTGTCATAGAAGGAGCTGGTCTGGAAGTCCTGAAAGGGCTTGCCTTTAAGGAAGAGTTTGGTTTCCTCCTTGGCCAGCTGCATGACCTTCTCATAGTCTTCTGCAGTAACTGCCTCGCATTTGCCGGCCAAGTCAGAGCTCATGAAAGCCAGATGGCTTTTGGAGCCTACCTTAAGAAAACTGGTGATCATATTCTCCATGGTACTGCTCTTGACATTGTCCTCTGCCAACTCCCACTGTGATGCTTCATCCAAGAAGTCCCTAGCTACCAAATATTCTGGCACTGTCTTCAAGAACTCTCTGAATAATTTCTTGCCGATGGGCTGCTGCTCACAGATGCTGTCATAATCAGCATCAATGGACTGCCTAACATCTCTGCACTGATCAACCCTGGGCAGTGAGAGGCTCTTACGTCTCCTTTGGATCTCTTTGGTGTCTCCATCTGCACTCTTCCTTGCCTGCAAATAGGCTGTGTTGGCAATCAGGTTGTCAAGCCCCCCCATGTCACACATGTTGGCAAGCTCTTGGGGTGGCAGAGCCTGGCTGAGACAAAATGAGTAACTCTCCCAAGTGCTGTGCTATAGCCACTCTGCACTTCTGCCTGCTAGTGGTGTGTGTGGGCTTCTGAAAAACACCAGGGAGACTAACTGCTTTTGCATTAAATACCTCTGAAGGATTTTCACTAAGTACCTTTAGGTATATGCACCATTTGTGGAAAGTGACTGGTAAGAGGTTTCTCTATAAGGAGCTTTGAGGTTGCTATGTATAGCTGAGGGATGACATCCTAGGCAAACCTCACTGGCAGCACCAAATACACATAGTTCAGTGGATGGTTTTCAGAATGGACGATGATAACCTTTAAGTGTATCAAGATTTCATCTATATACACTGTCCCCAAAGAACATGCAAAGATTCCTGTCTGCAATACATGCACACTCCAAACTCAGTGGCACTCTGGCCACAGTTAATAGGACAGCCTTATATCTCCCCCCCCTCGACACACGGAACACCAACGGACTAAGAATTAAGTAAGTTGAAATCTGGTTTTATTAAAAGCTTTTATCACAAATCTGCCATGCCTGAAACAGAAGTTGACATAGACTGACACAAGCCATTGAGCTTTAAATTATCCCACAATTCAGTGGTTTGAGCATCCATGCTTCCAAAACTCAAGTTATACTCAACATCAATGACTGAGCTCCACAGACACTTCGTGCAAACCCTGATGCCTTATGTGTCTGAGCGCATTACATGTGGAGGCTAAGACCTGCTGCCGGTCTAAAAATAATAATCCCTAGATATGAAACAACATATAGCTCTGACTTCACCTTCTACCCACAGAAAAGGGAGATACACTTCAAATGACCAGCCAAATCTTGCCAAGAAACTTCCATACGTTATTGTAGCTTGTTCCCTGCTGAGCTTTACGACAGTAGCTGGCAGGATGAGAAGGTGGCAACAGTGTATGGCTGAGGTGGCATCGGCGAAGGGACAAAGCTGATTATAATCGTGTGAAGGCAAATTCCACCTGACTTTACTCACTGGCTGCCTACCAGGAAGCCTGTGCTCCATTTTTTTCCCCAAAAGAATAAAAACCCTGTGTGGCACTTACTAGGCTAAGCCCCCTTCTGTTGTGGGGTCATGTGATTTGACTGCGAAAACTTTCTTTAAATGTAAGGAAGGTATTATAGGAAGAGGAAAAGCAGTTCCATGATTCTTCCAGTAGCATGGGGTCGAGCTGTACTCTTGAGGTCAAACCCAAGTTTCCTTTTCTCTTGGAGCAAGCTGAAGAGCTGAATCACAAATGGTAAACATTAGGACTAACAAGAAGCACCTCAGACTCCCTACAGTAAGTGCTAAGCCCTTCTTGGCTGCCTTTTGTCACTCTATTATGATGTAGTATTGTTTTTACATGCTTAATCCTGTCTGCATTGAATCCATTTGACATAACTCATGCTTATACTCTACAAAATTACATTAGAGGAGTGTTTTTCTAGCTGTGACTGCAAGGGCCACCGCTTGCAAACTGCTATGTGTGCACAAGAACATGTAAAGTATTTGAAAGCTTGTTTGTACACCAATAACTAATTCTGCCAGGTGAATGCAAGAAGGGGGTAGGACAAGGCCTAAATAATGAAGCCAGTAGAGTAAGCAAAACTGAAAACATTCCAGGGAAGAAATGCAGAATTCTGCTGGCAGTTTTTTCCTGAAAATGATGCCTACAGCAACATAGTCCTACAATATCCTGGGTACAAAAAGGCAAAGAAAGAGGTAATCATAGTTTCAGGTCCTAAAATTCAGTAGGGTCTTTTTTAACTTTTAGCAAGAATGCCACCACAGCTCAAACAGTAGCAGTACGAATGATTGGCAGCTGGAGACCTAAGGGTGAACTCAAGCTTACACCAGCTATTGATGTACTTATGTCTAAGCAAATCAAGAAAATACCTATGTTTACGGTATCTGCATAAGACAGACACATTCAGAGGTCCAAAAATCATCCTGCTCTTAATTAGAATCTTTCTTGATTTCTACAGAACATGAGCTTTCTCTAAAAGAACAGAACTTCATAAAAAAGTAAAGTGAAACAGTATGATCTTTGGACACATACTCATTACTCCAGGCACTTTTGACAGAGGAGTCCAGCTAGATTTGCTGAATTATCCAAATCTGCCCACCATTTATTAATCAGTGGAGAAAAGTAGATCAGCATTAATCTGTTAGTCAATAACGGCTATTTAAGTTAGTGTTACCTACTCATAAAACAGTGTTTGCATGAGAAGCATGATTTATTTTGCTTGATTTATGAGAACTGATTTATTTTGCATGTACAAGAGAAGAAATTCAAAACTAAAAATGGGTACTTAAAACAATGCTAATGGAATATCAGGGTATGATTTGGAACAGAAGAAAATTTATCTGGTGCAAAGCTCACAGAAAGACTGGGATTTAAGCTAATCTTCTCTAAGTCACAAAGAAAATATGCAGGACTTAAAATTCATTACCTTGTATTCTAGATGAAGCTCTAATTACTGGTCAACAAGATACTTACAACACGATACATACAAACATCAGTTGCTTTAATTTTAACATTCTCTTTCATAATACCTCATTTGTCATAACAGCTGTTTGAGCCTTTCTACCTTTTCTACAATTATCATTCTCAGCTATTCTTGTCATGCAAGTGACATGAACTGAAAGCAGGGTGAAAGTTACTTTGGTATTTTCCGTATTCACCTATAAACCAAGGCAAAAATGAAGAAAGAAGTCCTCTGCTGGGACTAGATGAAAGTAACAGCAGTTAGAGGATGGAGCCTGGGACCGAATTCTGGCAAATAGGCGGTAGTTGAGATATAGTTTAACTTTGGTAGAGAAGATATAATTTTAACTTTGCTAAATATGATTTCCACACCCAATCAGATTTTCTTTTGCAATAATTTTAGGAAGAATCATTTTACACAAACAGAAATACTCCACAACAACATAAATGCTATAGGCACTTCATTACTACTGTTAACCTATTTTATATTTGCTTTCCATTTTAAGACAGATATCATCTGGGATAATAACAACCGATGTGATACACTAACAGTGACACAGGATTTTTTTGATCTCAGTGTGCAATGAGACAAAAGCTGTATTTAAAAAATTCAAAGCATTTTAAAAACAAGATTACAAGTATTAAACGAAAACACAGTAAACTCTGCATGTATGCTTGATGACACAAAGGCTGCCATTTGAACTACTTTATACAGTGAAGATAAAACTCTTTAAATATACTTAAACAGAACCAGATAGAAAGACATCTCCTGAGAAATGCATTTATCTTAAACATTTAAGAAAATTTTCAAGTAAACAATTATAGGCACATAATATTGCTTCAATTTCACCCCTGTTTATTAGCCATTTTGACTGAATTTGTTACAGACTTAAAGAAGTAATTCAATCTCTTTATTACATATATTAAAAAAACCCCACAGCATATGTTCCGATTAATAGTAATTACTTTGGATATTTAGGGAAATGAGAAAGTCAGAGGCAAGCACTTAAATATTTGTAAGAAAAAAAACCCCCACAATTCATATAAAAAAGATTATACATTGAGGATTTCCACAAAAATGAAACAATGCTTTCTCTTACTTCCAAAACATTGTAACCAATAAAATGAAAAAGAAGTTTCTATTAACTGAATTTCCACAAAACCACAATTTAACATTTTTCCCTAGATTTACTTAGTACCTGGTTTCCTTGGGATATTTAAATTAGCAGATATTTTTGCTTTCTATATTAGTCAGCTGACCAGCGAGACTGTTTACACCCCTAGTTCACTGACATCAAATATGTGTATTTGTACCAAGTCTCTGGATTAAAAATACATGTCTCCATGACCCTTAACAGAAATGCAAATTAAAAAACTATTAATCTGGTTAAGTTTTAATACTATGGTTCTAGAAATCGTATTTAGAATACAATACAGCAACAGACTTAGAGATACTACAAAACAGAATTTTCTAAAGTCATAAAAGAAACCCTAAATCTGAAATGCTTAGTACAGTGTGACAGGAAAAGCACATAACAAATGCTTTACACACTATTCATTTTAGATTAAAACCCAGAATGTTTTCTAAAAAACTCACCAACTGTGGTTTTGTATACAATCTTACTTAGAAAACAATTTATTTACCCTGACAGTAAACTTTGCAGTGTATCAGACTTACAGGTATGGTTGTTCTTTCGAGTTAATTAATTTATCTATGCAAAACCATTAAATAAACTGTATTTAGGGTATAATCTGCTTCACTGCATTTCTATGCTCTGATACAGTTAACACTCAAATAGTAACAGATACATTTGTTAAGGTAGTTTCTTTCTTTTCAGTTGTGGAAATCTCTGTGGTAAGACTGACCCACTACCTCCCCATACAGCAAAGAGCATACAACAAAACCACACTAATCTTGTAGCAGATAAATTAAATAAATCATGCCATGATTGACATGTTCCATTTTTTTGTATAAGCATATGGTATAAGACATACATTATTTCAACAAATTCAACAGGAAAAAAAAAAAACCAAACCAAACTTCCAGTGTTTTTATTTGCCTATTCTCTGCACTACCCAGTCCTGCTGGCAGAGGGGACAGCGATTATTCTGTTTCACCCACAAGGACATGCAGCAATTGTGGAAGGAATGATTGCATTCTCCCCAAACCACTGAAAGAGAATAAAGAACATGTTCCAGTCATGCTCAGCTGTTCAACCAACACCTACAGCAAGGTCCAAACTATCATTCTCAGATGTTTATAACCACTGCAAGCTTTAGAGACAAAATGGGTTATCACTGATTTATTCACTGAGATTGGATTATTATGATCATTCTGATAAATCAGTTCTCTTTTCATTAATCCTTTTCCTTGCTTCCAGTTACAATAGAAGAAATACATATATTCTCACTTTCTTGGATAAAGTGACAGTTTAGTGAATGTATAAACACATTTATCAGTTCTGTCTAGGAAACAAGTGCAACTAGCTAAATTCTTCACTTTATCTTCCTCAGTACCAAAACAGAGCCAATGTACTACTGACTTCTGCACAAGGGAGTACCACCACATTCTCATCTGAAACGCAGTGTTTAAACTTAAATGTATGATATTAAGGAGGCACATTTGACACAGTATATAGCCTCA